TCGACATTAACGCAATTAATCTGAAATGTAATAATCCCCCCAAAATTCCCCAAATTAATCTTAAAAAACTGTAATAAACTTATTGCGAAAAAATACGCACGGAATGCAAGAGATCCGGGTTCGACTCCCGGCCGAGGCAATATTTTTTCGCAATAAGTTTATTACAGTTTTTTAAGATTAATTTGGGGAATTTTGGGGGGATTATTACATTTCAGATTAATTGCGTTAATGTCGACAACCATATCGACACGTAATTATTATTTCTGAAATTAATTCATTCGTTTGAATAATATATATATTAGTTCAACATCTTAATACTTAGACCGTAGTGGCGCTTCGGATTGTAATGTTATTTAATAATAATATAGTTTACAAGATTCATTATAGCGATTGTGAAGTTTCTTATGTGAGACAAACGAAGAGGAAACTCAACTCCAGAATAAATGAACATATTGACAATAAAAAACTTAACTCATCTAGACATTCAGTTGTAACGGAACATTTATTACAATATAATCATAGCTTCGATTGGAAGCGTGTTAGAATATTGACTCAGAATTAAATTATAATAAGAGATTCATTTTTAAAACATTACTCATTAAAAAACAGTTAAATGGCATAAATTTGAAAAAGGACACAGAATCTCTAAATGACATATATCTTTATTTAATAAATTTCGAATAATAACAAAAATGATAGTTGATTTCTTTATTCGTTTGGCACTCTTGTACTTATGCGGTATCATTTGAGTTTAAACTCTCTCACAATCAAGATCTGTTCTCTTTATATGATAACTCTTAATAATAACCGATATCACGTTCTATATAATTTCACAATTATATTAGACTGCTACTAAACTAACCGATACACACAATGTATACATCTCACTTTCATGATCATCGTAAGTGTTACATAATTCTATTTGATATTCTTTCAATTTATATTAATATGCATAATTCTATTCTTTTTGTTTTATATATATATTTATATATATATATATATATCATAATACTTAC